CTGAATATTGATTGTATGGCGTCTGGGTCTTGGATCATACCTTCACAAAATTTAGGAAGAGCCTCCTAAGCCTTTAGCTCTCAGAAAAAAATCACAAACAAAAATAACCTTTGCATTAAAACTGAACAATGTGGGGACATCTTGATCTTGCTGAGGCTGACTTCAGGATCATAACTCATTATTTGTGGCTGGTCAGTGCCATGGCCTGTGACTCTGGGAAGTTCCTGGATGCATTGAAGGGCCATCGGGATCCAGTTGCCAACTCATTATCGTATGGAGATATTGCTCTTGTTCTTGGGTCAATGATTTCTTTTTCAAAGGGGCCATTTCCCACTTCTTCCTTATCCTCTTCTGACTCTTCTGTAGAAAATAAGGGCACCCAGCATTAGCACTGGTGATCTGATCCCAACATCCAGTACTTCTGGTTGTAACTGACAATAAAGACATAGCTTATTGCTTCACTAAAGCAACTTTGCAGATAACATGTAGGTCAGCTTGGGGAACCCGTGTATTTGCAAGGCAGGTAGTGTGTTTTGAACTCATTTCCTTCCCTTACTCTCCACATATATCCGTGGCCTGACCTTTATTAGAGATTTTTAAGAACAGATTAAACATATCACTCTCAGCTGTATTTAGCCTGCCTCACATTAAAAGCATGGAGTAAATGACTTCTTGAGATCCTTTCCAGCCTTGTTTCTGGGATGTTTATGACTCTCACTTTACTAGAACACACCACACAAAAATGTTACCCTGCGTTTTACGTATGCTGCCTGTGAGGCTCTTTGCTCAAGATGGACCTCTCCCCAGGCGGCATGTCCCTGGCTCTTTTCACTTGATATATGCGGACTGTTCTCCAACTCAAGCTACTCCTTTTATGCCCACTATACCTTTGCCTTTTAGTTGTTTGTCTCCTTTTGGATGCCCTCTTATGTATTTCAATTTGAGGAATCAGCTGCTTGTTTGCTTGGTTCCTTTTTTAGTAGCTGCAAGTGCTCTTGTAGGTCAGTTAGATTGTGCTGGACAAGAAAAGGGGAAAGCTTTCAGGCAGGGTTCCTTCACTTCCTTGAACATAACCTATTCTGGGGATCCAGCTCTGCTATTTTAGGCACCAATAATGGGTGGGTTGTTAAAAAAAATCCTGGTTTTATTGTTGCAGATCATTGGGAGTCTGTACTAATGCTGTAAGGCTTCACGATGCCATAAAGAATTACTGTGTTTATTGACCTGAGTTTCCTTATGGCAAGTAAAAGTCTGGAGGGTTGGTTTGGATCTATTCTGTGGATCAAGACAAATAACTAAGAGATGGCTTTGGTTCTCCCCTTTTTCCCCCCACCCCCAGCTGTGTCAAAGTCCTGGACAGATCCACAGAAGGAGTGTTTAAAAGGCCCTTTCAGGAATAGCTATTCCTAAGCAGAAACAGCTCTTGCCCAGGTCAGCCAGTGGATTTACTTCAGGGGACACACTAGGAGACTGCAGGATCAGTGATAAGTCTCACTTACTGAAATGTTAGAATTATCTCCAAGATATATGAAAAAGAAAATTCACTTTATCTCTGAAATTTAGTCTAGTCAGCTGACTGAATGGATCATAGAGCTCTAGTTTTGAACGCCTTTATTTTGTGGGGAGCTGTTTTGTAGGGATGTTTCTACTTATGTCAAATAAATATTACTGCTATTTGGTATGGAAGCCAGATACCACTGTCTGCATAAGAAAATGCTACTTTTTTGGTACACTGGGATGCCAAGTAGATGTGTTAATATATGGCTGCATGTAGACATTCGCTAAATTCTCTTCTGGTACCAGCAGTGGATGAAAAGAATAGATATATTTACTGGAATACCTGTAGATAACTAGAACACTTATTCCTGCAAAAAAAATCTTATTTTACATTCTTGGTCAATCAGAAATACAGCGCAGATCCTC